CGAGCTGTCCGACTTCAGGCGAGCTTTTTGAGACCTCCCCCGGCTGCGATCGGCTATTCTCGTCTACTTTCGAGGCGAGCCGCAACGCGTCTCAAACAAGCCTGCTGTCAGACGATCAGCTGTGCGGCGTCATCACAAACGGACGTCGCTTCACGTGACTCTTTTTATGGGGTTCTTTTATTTGGGGTAAAGCACATTGTCAGAATAAGTGAGAAATGGATTTAACTTCTGTTAGACAGCTATCATACTGAATACATATTTACTGTGAATGTATGCAAAAATGTATGGCTATAGCTGTCTAACAGAAGTTAAATCCATTCCTCACTTATTCTGACAATGTGCTTAACCCCAAATAAAAGAACCCAATAAAAAGAGTTGTTAAATAATAGTGAAGTCACGTTGTAACAACAATAACTCATCTCTCTCTCTCTCTCTCTCGAGTTTTCCTTTTGAGCTTTGCCAAAAGCCACTGCGTGTCAAGTGTCCTTCTTGGGTTCCCGTCCGGAGTTCTCCAATATGGCGGACCATCTCGCACATGCGCACTGCAGATCGGGTAGTGACAGCGGCCGCGGACAGTCCACGACACTACACGACACGCCCACCTGACACGACACTACGGTGGCTGAGAGGCCGTACATGGCAGATTAAAAACGAATTGCAAATGTTATTGTAGCATTTTAAGCAACTATTAGGCAAATAAATGAATAACGTAAAAACATAATGTGTTTGAGAACCCCTTGGAACCCCTTATCCCATTTTGATGGTTGACATCTCATTTGAACAGTGAAAGCCAGAATGACAGCAGGGGTGAATTTTATTTTAGAATTTTGCAATAAGTCAAAGATATGTTTACTGTATATTATAAAAATGCTTGTCATGTAGGCATACTGGAGATGGAAAGGCTTTAGTCAGTGTTGTAGCTGAGATTCTTACCGTTCCTCACTTTCAGAATGTAACCCTTTAACTGCCAGCGCCACCATTTAGTAGAGCACATTTTGTGTCTTGATATCTTGTTGAAAAAAGAAAAAAAAAGTTTAACTCCATCTGATTCAGCCAGCTCTACTCTTTGGTTGATATGTTATGCACAAAACAACCTCTAGATGTCACTGTGGTTCGAACAGAAAGCCCTTCAGCTAGTTTAAATGTCAGGCCTGCAGCATGGCCACAAACCCCATCTAAAAACAGAGGCTCTGTCCTAATTACCTCCTGATTGCATCCACCTGGGTTACTTGGCTCTACCAATAACTATCATTTAACTTTAAACCACATTTAAAAATAATAATATAATTACACATATGTACATGTCTACAGTATAGCAGCTAATACATGTTTTAAATAAAAAACATTCAAATGTGAAAGACACCTTCAATTAATATTTAAAACTTACACAAAATCAGATTCTTACATATATATATCTTAGCTTGACATGCTAACTGAACGAGCATGTTCAGTTAGCATATATGCTAACTGAACGTCGAGCATGTCAAGCTAAGAGCTAAGATATATATATATATATATATATTATATATGTAAAGGAATATTTTGGTCTTGTTAAAGTATATAGAGTTTAGTGACTTGTCCTCGGGAATCTGTTTAATATGGTTGAAGTGTATTCCTGCCTGTAATGTGATCCATAGCTTCTCAGGAAGACACAGGTCAAGAGGTCATCTGATGTCTTGTGGGGGAGAAGCTTGGCTCATGTGGGTTTACAATGCAACGAGTCTTTGTCTCGACATCTGGCATGCATTAAAGGAAAACCCGCGTGTTTTAGGGCCCTCCTCTTCTCCATGTATAGATGGGTGCTTGGCGCTTTTGGGGCAGAGTTGGCTGGTATCTTGCAGGGAACTGTAATATGCTGTGAACTCTCCGGCCGCTCAGGCTCTCAATAAATATCAGTGTATTGACAGGCGAATCCAGTTTCACTCATTTCATGATTGGCTCAACATTGCTGCAAAGAAGTTTTTACTTCACAATATATGTATTCCATTCCTTTACATTTAATATTTAAAATACAAATCAGCAAAATAAACACAATTACACTGCGCTAAACAGCCACATCGACAAACAAACGAGAACCTAAATAGTATGTAATTATATCTAAAACCACAATACGTTAATTACCTGTACTCGGTGCGCCATAATGTTTGTTGTCTGTAAACCTCCATGTCTCCTTAAATATTCTTGCGTCAGCGTCTCACGTGTTGGGCGTGCTCTCTTCTGACCATATTTGGAAGTACAACTTTCGCGGCCGCAGCTAGACCCTTCTCAGCCACCGTAGTGTCGTGTCAGGTGGGCGTGTCGTGTAGTGTCGCGTAGTGTCGTGTACTGTCCGCGGCCGCAGCTAGACCATATTGGAGCCTATCGAAGTTCATTTCACATGAGCTCCAGTGTGGAACCCCACTGCACCCCCTGGTGGATCAATGATCCATTGCAGCTGGCTTCACAATAATTAAATGTATTTATCACAGGGGCGGTCTCAAGTCAGACTGGAGGCTGTCTCTTATCGCGGGCAGATCACGAGCCGATCACGGGCCGATCACGGGCCGATCACGGGCCGACCACGGCCCTCGCGTTTCAAACTGTCCTAAATAAGCTGCTACATCTGTAGCAACAACAACTTCCTGTCAACAGCGTAAACTCGCCTTCAAAATAAAAGCATCTAAATAACACAGGAAGTTAACCTAAATTACATTTAAGACATATTTACAACTGCAACTAAAGTAACAAGAACAATGTAATATCTTTTTCAGTTTTACAGAACACAAACTGGGTTATTTACAATCGTTAGGCAACTCTTTTATTGCACTAGGTAACAGCAACAATAGGTTGTAGCATTCAACCCTGCTCATGGACTTGCAGTGGTCCTCGCTAACGAGTTACGCTGTGCTGCGTCTACATATCCATCGTAAATGCACTTTCAGCTCCTGGGCTGGGGAAATGTCTGCACATTTTGCAGAAAAGCGCGTCCCTATTGTGCTGTATTCAACCCAGGGAAAATCTCCATACCAACTCGATGAGAAGCACCTTGCTTTCCCATGATTTAGAGTGTAAGGGAACTTCTTGAATTGTGGCTGTGAAGGCTGTTCATCAATTGCAGACAGACCAGCGGGTAGGCCCACACCTGCTTCGGACAGCCTGGCCCTGGATCGCTGCTGGATGAGGGCAGTGGGGGCTCTTCTTGGAGTCTGGCTTCATTAGTGAACTTTGAGCCATCATTTGTAGGCAGCTCTCTGCCTCTCTCACGTTACTATGGCGCGCGCCGGAACCAACAACCAGTTTTTACCGTAAATGAGTTCGGTTCAGAGGATAAAACAGCTTTCTCAGGGTGGGCCAATGAGTCAACTGGGTGGGCCTGGCACTTCAGCAGGAACTTAAGCTGACCAGTTTGATACCCATCCATCAAGGATTTTAAACTAATTTAAAAAAAGCTGGAGAAATCATCTGTGGGTGTTTGCACCTGCTATATCTACTTTATATGGATTTCAATGACTACTTTTTTTACGATGTTGCATTTTAGTGTTGCCTCTGTGTTTGGTCCCCTCCTCTTCTCCCTGTACACAAACTCGCTCGGATCAGTCATTAGCCCGCATGGTTTTTCTTACCACTGCTACGCTGACGACACCCAATTAATTCTGTCCTTTCCCCGCTCAGAGACCCAGGTCGTCGCACGCATCTCTGCTTGTCTAGCTGACATCTCTCAGTGGATGTCTGATCACCACCTCAAGCTCAACCTTGACAAGACTGAGCTGCTCTTCCTCCCGGGAAAAGATTGTCCAACTCTTGACCTGACAATCAACATCGGCACCTCAGTTGTTTCCCCGACTCAGACTGCAAGGAATCTGGGTGTGACCCTAGATAACAACCTGTCCTTCACTGCAAACATCGCTGCTACAACCCGCTGCTGCAGATACACGCTTTACAACATCAGGAAGATACGTCCCCAGCTGACCCAGAAAGCGACTCAGGTTCTGGTCCAGGCTCTCGTCATCTCACGCCTAGACTACTGCAACTCCCTCCTGGCTGGTCTACCTGCATGTGCCATCCGACCTCTGCAGCTCACCCAGAATGCAGCGGCTCGTCTGGTCTTCAACCTTCCTAAATGTTCCCACACCACTCCGCTCCTCCGCTCCCTTCCACTGGCTTCCAGTAACTGCTAGAATCCACTTCAAGACACTGGTACTTGCTTACCATGCTGCGAATGGATCTGGCCCTTCCTACATCCAGGACATGGTTAAACCGTACACCCCAGCGCGTGCACTACGCTCTGCATCAGCCAAACGACTCGCTGCGCCCTCGCTGCGAGGGGGGACCCAAGTTCCCATCGGCGAAACACGTGGGTTTGCTGTCCTGGCTCCAGGATGGTGGAATGAGCTCCCCATTGACATCAGGACAGCAGATAGCTTGCACATCTTCCGGCGCAAACTGAAAACTCATCTCTTTCGACTCCACTTAGAGCGATAGAACTATTAACGAAGCACTTGTATACTAATAAAGGACTGGCTTATCTAAAGCCAGTCGAGTAGCTCTTGAAATGTTTTTGCTCTATGAAACCTGATGTACTTATATGATTCTGTTTTCTTCAAGTTGTATTTTGTTGGACGAACGCACTTATTGTAAGTCGCTTTGGATAAAAGCGTCAGTTAAATGCAATGTAATGTAATGTAATGTAATGTTTAGTGTCCTGTCTGTCTGTAACTTTGTGTGGTAGTGTTACCACTGACAGGTCTCTCTTGAAAATGAGACCTTGTGTCTCAATGAGATTGTATACCTGTATAAATAAAGGCAAGATATATAGATAGGCTATATATATATATATATATATATATATGTGTGTGTGCATACCCTTCATCTAACAGTTATATCTCGTTTTCTCTACCTTCTGTAACGGATTCTTATTCTGTGTCTCGCTGCCGCCCCCTGTTGGACAGAGCCAATCATCACGCTTTATTCACACAGTAACCGTCACTGACCAATCAGAGCGCAGCAGCGTTACCATGGAAACGGCGTTCAGACCTTTTGGAGACGCAGATCAGCAGCTAACAGCTAACAGGCTACATTAACCTACGTTCTGTTAATACAATATTTAACATGATTTCCTGCGTTAAATATTAAAAGTGAAGCCTCTTGTTCCTCCACAGCCTCCCCCTGTGTTCTGTGGGGTTAGCATTAGTTAGCATCGACAGGTCTCCGTCTAATAAAGCTACTGATTAGCTTAGCACAAACTAGCTTAGCACCCTAACCGTCACATTCTATATTTTTCACCCGGATAAGAGGCTCTGAATCCCCGCAGGATCAGAGGAGAGGAGCCAGTGTAGCCTCCAGCTAGCTGGTGGCACCGCGGGATGGATGTGAGTTAACTGTGAGACCCGGGTCTGTGGTTCTCTGGACGGCTAGCTGAGGGTCCTGGTCCCGGTCCTGGTCCTCCTCCAGGGACCGGGGGCGGGAGGGATCCACGCCGCAGATCAGGCCCATTTCTCGGGGAGAAATGAGGCGGAGGCCCGCTAACATCCGGAGCTGCTGAACAGGTGAGGAAATCAGAAAAAATATACAAGAAAAACAGCTTCATTTACAGTGTTCTAAATAAACAGTGTTATTATAAACGGTGTTATAAGACTGACTGCAGGTATTTCATTATGTATTAAAATACTATCTTTGATTTGGTGCATCAAATAAACATTGTTAGAGACAAAGGAAATCAGAAATAAACAAAGTATTTCAGAGTCAATAAACATGAATATAGGGAAGAAGACACTGACATTAAATCATGTCAAATATATCTGAAATGCATTCAATAATAAAGTAATCTACATGTGATGAGGATCTCTTTATTCTGCCATGATTCATTTCATTAGCTGAATCATTAGGTGGTTTAAAGGTCAAACATTCCCACATACTATCACATATTTCATCATCCATTCACTCTGTATTATTCTAAATATACAGAGTGAGTTTCTCATTAACTGGGGGGTATCTCTCATTACTGGGGGTTTTCTCATTAACTGGTGGTTTCTCTCATTAACTGGGGGTTTCTCTCATTAACTGTTGGGTTTCTCTCATTAACTGGGGGGTTTCTCTCATTAACTGGGGGTGTTTCTCTCATTAACTGTGGGTTTCTCTCTCATTAACTGGGGGTTTCTCTCATTAAACTGGGGTGTTTCTCTCATTAACTGGGGGGTTTCTCTCATTAACTGGGGGTTTCTCTCATTAACTGGGGGTTTCTCTCATTAACTGGGGGGTTTCTCTCATTAACTGGGGGGTTTCTCTCATTAACTGTGGGTTCTCACATTAACTGGGGGTTTCTCTCATTAACTGGGGGGTTTCTCTCATTAACTGGGGGGTTTCTCTCATTAACTGGGGGGTATCTCTCATTCAACTGGGGGGTATCTCTCATTAACTGGGGGGTATCTCTCATTAACTGGGGGTTTCTCTCATTGACTGAGGGGTATGTCTCATTAACTGTGGGGTATCTCTCATTAACTGGGGGTTTCTCTTTAACTGGGGGTTTCTCGCATTAACTGGGGGGGTTTCTCTTCTCTCATTAACTGGGGGGTATCTCTCATTAACTGGGGGTTACTCTCATTAACTGGGGGGTTTTCTCCCATTAACTGGGGGGTTTCTCTCATTACTGGGGGGTATCTCTCATTAACTGGGGGGTATCTCTCATTAACTGGGGGTTTCTCTCATTAACTGGGGGGTATTTCTCATTAACTGGGGGGTATCGCTCATTAACTGGGGGTTTCTCTCATTAACTGGGGGGTTTCTCTCATTACCTGGGGGTTCTCACATTAACTGGGTGGTATCTCTCATTAACTGGGGGTTTCTCTCATTAACTGGGGGGTTTCTCCCATTAACTGGGGGGTTTCTCTCATTAACTGGGGGTATCTCTCATTAACTGGGGTTTTCTCATTAACTGGGGGGTTCTCTCATTAACTGAGGGGTATCTCTCATTAACTGGGGGTCTCTCTTTAACTGGGGGGTATCTCTCATTAACTTGGGGGTATCTCTCATTCACTGGGGGGTATCTCTCATTAACTGGGGGGTATCTCTCATTAACTGGGGGTTTCTCTCATTGACTGAGGGGTATCTCTCATTAACTGTGGGGTATCTCTCATTAACTGGGGGTTTCTCTTTAACTGGGGGGTATCTCTCATTAACTGGGGGGTTTCTCTCATTAACTGGGGGGTATCTCTCATTAACTGGGGGTTACTCTCACATTAACTGGGGGGTTTCTCCCATTAACTGGGGGGGTATCTCTCATTAACTGGGGGGTATCTCTCATTAACTGGGGGTTTTCTCTCATTAACTGGGGGTTTCTCTCATTAACTGGGGGGTATCGCTCATTAACTGGGGGTTTCTCTCATTAACTGGGGGGTTTCTCTCATTAACTGGGGGTTCTCACATTAACTGGGTGGTATCTCTCATTAACTGGGGGTTTCTCTCATTAACTGGGGGGTTCTCACATTAACTGGGTGGTATCTCTCATTAACTGGGTGGTATCTCTCATTAACTGGGGGTTTCTCTCATTAACTGGGGGGTTTCTCCCATTAACTGGGGGGTTTCTCTCATTAACTGGGGGGTATCTCTCATTAACTGGGGGTTCTCACATTAACTGGGTGGTATCTCTCATTAACTGGGTGGTATCTCTCATTAACTGGGGGTTTCTCTCATTAACTGGGGGGTTTCTCCCATTAACTGGGGGTTTCTCTCATTAACTGGGGGGTTTCTCTCATTAACTGGGGTTATCTCATTAACTGGGGTTTCTCTCATTAACTGGGGGGTATCTCTCATTAACTGGGGGTCTCTCTTTAACTGGGGGGTATCTCTCATTAACTTGGGGGTTTCTCTCATTAACTGTGGGGTATCTCTCATTAACTGGGGGTTTCTCATTAACTGTGGGGTTTCTCTCATTAACTGGGGGTTTCTCATTAACTGGTTCTCTCATTAACTGGGGGTTTCTCTCATTAACTGGGGGGTATCTCTCATTAACTGGGGGTCTCTCTTTAACTGGGGGGTATCTCTCATTAACTTGGGGGTTTCTTACATTAACTGTGGGGTATCTCTCATTAACTGGGGGTTTCTCATTAACTGTGGGGTATCTCTCATTAACTGGGGGTTTCTCATTAACTGGGGGGTTTCTCTCATTAACTGGGGGGTTTCTCTCATTAACTGGGGGGTTTCTCCCATTAACTGGGGGGTTTCTCCCATTAACTTTGGGGTCTCTACAATCAACTGGGGGTTTCCTTGTCCGATGTGAGGGTCTAAAGGACAGAGGGGGTCGTATTGATATGCTGTACAAACTGTAAAGTCCACTGAGACAAATGCAAGATTTGTAATATTGGGATATATAAATAAACATGGATTGATTGACTGTGTTGCAGGATGGATTTGTGCAGTAAGAACCGGACGGCACCGGTCCCTGACGGCGCCCCCCCCCCCCGGATAGAGGGCCCCCCGCCCCGCACTAACGGATGGTCCTGGCCCCCCCACCCCCTGCAGCTGCTGGCCTGGGGGCTGTTCGGCTTCTTCGCCGTCACCGGGCTGGGGGTGTTTGTCCCTCTGCTGCCCCCCCACTGGCTCCCCGCTGGGTACATCGTATCCTTTACTCGGTGTACTAGTACTTTAATATGATAGAGGTAGTACTTCCTATAGTACTTTAATATGAATGAGGTAGTACTTCCTGAGCTGCTCAGTGTATTAGTGCTTTAATATGAAGGATAGTGGTAGTACTTGTCAGTGTTTAAGAGTGCAGACCCAAAAGCAGTAAAAAGACAATGTAGGCAGGTATGGGAATTTGAAAGCAACACAAACCAACGACTGAACGCGGGGGGCTTGAGTGGGATGGACCAACGACAGAACACAGGGGGTTGGAGAGGGCCGGACCAACGACAGGACACGAGGGGTTGGAGTGGGACGGACCAACGACAGAACACAGGGGGTTGGAGAGGGCCGGACCAACGACAGGACACGAGGGGTTGGAGTGGGCCGGACCAACGACAGGACACGAGGGGTTGGAGTGGGACGGACCAACGACAGAACACAGGGGGTTGGAGAGGGCCGGACCAACGACAGGACACGAGGGGTTGGAGTGGGCCAGACCAACAACAGGACACGAGGGGTTGGAGTGGGCCAGACCAACGACAGGACACAGGGGGTTGGAGAGGGCCAGACCAACAACAGGACACAGGGGGTTGGAGTGGGCCAGACCAACGACAGGACACGAGGGGTTGGAGTGGGCCAGACCAACAACAGGACACGAGGGGTTGGAGTGGGCCAGACCAACGACAGGACACAGGGGGTTGGAGAGGGCCAGACCAACAACAGGACACAGGGGGTTGGAGTGGGCCAGACCAACGACAGGACACGAGGGGTTGGAGTGGGCCAGACCAACGACAGGACACGAGGGGTTGGAGTGGGCCAGACCAACGACAGGACACGAGGGGTTGGAGTGGGCCAGACCAGTGCCATATAGAGAAGCGTTACGACAGCGGAGGACCAAAATGCTTGATCGTCACGTGGTTCAGGGAGACTCAATAGTTCCCCGGAAGTTCGTGGTGGGACATTTGAATGCATGATTACCGGAGATAGAATTACGATTTTTGGTAATAAGTAGTGAATAAAGGTTTTGATTTGCAACAGATCGATGTGTATGTAGTTACATCAATATTTGAAAAAGTTAAATTTGATAATATTTGAGGATTAAGATAAAATAAGAAGTACTTTATTGATACCAATTGGGGAAATGTTTGCTTTGCAGCAGCAAAAGACAAGGCATTGTACATAAAACAGTTAAAAGACTAGAATTAAACAATCGGAAATGTAAACATCTCAAATAGAAATAAAATAGCAGAAAATATACATAGTGTGAACAGCTATCTTACCTGTTAACATATACATGTTTGGCTAACGTTGCCTTGGTTACAGAGCCTGTTGCTGTTGTTTATTGCTTTGAATTGTTTAAAACAAATATTATATTCTTAAACGGTAGTCAGGAGCATCACTTCCTAATGTTTGATATATTTAGAGGGAGGGGAGGAAGGCTTCAAAATTCAGATTAGATTCATTTCTACCATTTCTTTAGTTCATGGTGGTTTCAGTAATCCCCTGGTAATTGAGGACATAAGTCATCTAAAGTACTAATGTCTTCTTTATGACTTTCAGAAAGGACAGGAGACCGGCAGGTGCCTATCAATGATTGTCAACTGACAGTAAATAAATGGAATTCAATAAACATTGAATAGCATATCATGCAGTTTGTCTGTGCCTTTTCCTCCGTGTTGTCCTGGCATATCGTCTCCCCCATGGTTTGCTGTCCTGCCTCAGGATGCTCCAAGCGCTCAGAGAAAGGAGTATGAATGTAAAGTTTCCCCACTGACACAGAGAGGAGGAAAGAATGGCTGGCTCAAGTCAGCAGGAGCAATTTAACTATCACAAAAGACAACAACAGCAACAACATATGTGAGGTAATCATATTTTTCACAAAACGAAGACCACACCATTTGGAAGCTTAATGTCTGTTTAATCAAAATAAGGAACAGGGAGAGGCTTGCAAAGCTCTGGGAGTTGAGACTCAGTGGTGAGGTTCTCATTGCAGGTCTTCAGGCTCCATTGAATCCCCCTGGGGTTCTTGTGCTGAGAGAGGGAGACAGGAGAAAGGGTTAGATACATCTAGCAACCTATAGGATGGGAAATTGCTGACATATTTTAAACTTACCTTGTGTTTTCACTCTCACTTAAGTCCCTCTCTCTTTGCCATCAATCCAAAATCAGCTGAGCTGCAACATAATACAGACAGGTAATAATCAACAGAATCACAAGGACATTATATGGCTCTGCTAAAAACACTCACCCATAAATTATGTTTTTGTTTACTGTTTGGAAGTCTCAAATATCCACTCTAAATCCATATCAATAGCGATACATCACAAAAATAGCTCTCTTCCTTATTATTGTGTAACGTTAACTATATTATACTAGCTTGAACTCCAAGATGGATATCCTCATTTCACCACCTCCACCCACTACAATCACACGCCCCAATGTTATATTTAACTCATATTTAACTCCCTCCACCCCGGATAAAAGCACGTTAAGAAGCCACTTTTCTCTAATTCCACAACGTTGGAGGAAATAACATTAGGAGAACGGATTAATAGGCTGTTCGTGGTTAACGTGTGTTGCTAACTTTACCCGGTATCCTAGCCTAATCTGTTATCTGTAAACGTTAAATATACTGATTGAAGGGATAATCCACTAACATCCTTTAATACACGTGGAGTTAATTTGATTCAGATGTTCTGATAATATCCGCAATATAAATCTTTAAACGTCTTCTTACGTTCAAAAGTCCATCACGAACGGTCTATTATGCTGCAACCATAGACTGCTAGCCGCAGATCCTCTCAATAGTTCCCCGGAAGTTAGCGGCAAGCTAACTTCCGGGGAACTATTGAGAGGCTCCACGATCCGCCATTGCTGTAAAAAACTGGTCCATTGGAGTGAACGGAGATGTCGTAACTCTTCTATTACATGGCTCTGGGCCAGACCAACGACAGGACACAGGGGGTTGGAGAGGGCCAGACCAACAACAGGACACAGGGGGTTGGAGTGGGCCAGACCAACGACAGGACACAGGGGGTTGGAGAGGGCCAGACCAACAACAGGACACAGGGGGTTGGAGTGGGCCAGACCAACGACAGGACACTGGGGGGTTGGAGTGGGCGGGACCAACGACAGGACACGGGGGGTTGGAGTAGGCCGGACCAACGACAGGACACGGGGGGTTGGAGTGGGCCGGACCAACGACAGGACACAGGGGGTTGGAGAGGGCCAGACCAACGACAGGACACGGGGGGTTGGAGAGGGCCGGACCAACGACAGGACACGGGGCGGTTGGAGTGGGCCGGACCAACGACAGGACACTGGGGGGTTGGAGTGGGCCGGACCAACGACAGGACACGGGGGGTTGGAGTGGGCCGGACCAACGACAGGACACTGGGGGGTTGGAGTGGGCCGGACCAACGACAGGACACTGGGGGGTTGGAGTGGGCCGGACCAACGACAGGACACGGGGGGTTGGAGTGGGCCGGACCAACGACAGGACGTGGGGGGTTGGAGTGGGCCAGACCAACGACAGGACGCGGGGGCTGGAGAGGGCCGGACCAACGACAGGACGCGGGGGCTGGAGAGGGCCGGACCAACGACAGGACACTGGGGGGTTGGAGTGGGCCGGACCAACGACAGGACACGGGGGGTTGGAGTGGGCCGGACCGACGACAGGACGCGGGGAGCTGGAGTGGGCCGGACCGACGGCAGGACACGGGGGGTTGGAGTGGGCCGGACCGACGACAGGACGCGGGGGGCTGGAGTGGGCCGGACCGACGGCAGGACGCGGGGGGCTGGAGTGGGCCGGACCGACGGCAGGACGCGGGGGGCTGGAGTGGGCCGGACCGACGGCAGGACGCGGGGGGCTGGAGTGGGCCGGACCGACGGCAGGAAGCGGGGGGCTGGAGTGGGCCGGACCGACGGCAGGAAGCGGGGGGGCTGGAGTGGGCCGGACCGACGGCAGGAAGCGGGGGGTTGGAGTGGGCCGGACCGACGGCAGGAAGCGGGGGGTTGGAGTGGGCCGGACCAACGACAGGACAAGTGGGGCTGGAGTGGGCCAGACCAACGACAGGACACGGGGGGGTTGGATTGGACTGGACCAACGACAGGACACAGGGGGGTTGACGTGGGCCGGACCAGCGACTGGAAGCGGGTCACGGGGGGCTGGAATGGGCCGGACCAACGACAGGACGCTGGGGCTGGAGACACAACGACAGGACGCTGGGGCTGGAGACACAACGACAGGACGCGGGGGGTTGGTGTGGAACAATGGCTTCTGGGGCCGGACCGGTATCCTGGCCATGCGTCTCTTTGGAGCCTCTTGGAGGCCTCCCCAGGCCAGGCGGGATCCCAGGAAGGGGTGGAGGCCGGCACTCACTGAGCCACTCAGGCAACAAGCTCCTAAGCCAGGGCTTGTTGGAAACCTCCAGGCGTGCCTCCTTAAGGGCCGCCTCTCTGGCCCCTCTAGAGGAGGCTCTCCTCCAGTCATTAAAAATACACTCCAGAATGTATTTTAAATCGTAAAGCTTCTGGTCGAGATCAAAAACAACTGGGTCAATGTTGGTTCGTACTGTCTTCCCGTACTACTTCCCCTAAAATCATGACAGTACTTCCTGTAGTACTTTAATATGAATTAGGTAGTACTTCCTGAGCTGCTCAGTGTATTAGTACTTTAATATGAATGATACTTCCTGAGCGTCTCAGTGCACGGGGGTCATGTTCCTGTCTCACCTGGTTCTTCACCTGTCAGCCGTCTCCATCGACCCCGCCGACCTCAGTGTGAGGACGAGGAGCAGCCGGGCGCCCCCCCCCCCCTTCGACCGCTCCAAACACCGGCACGTCATCGAGAACTCCCACTGCTACCTGTGCCAGGTGGACGTGTGAGTACTTGTACTACTGTTTACTACTATATACTACTTTAATACTGAGAACTCCCACTGCTACCTGTGCCAGGTGGACCTGTGAGTACGTGTACTGTAATATAATAATATGTACTTGTTGTATTTCCAGGGGTGCAAAGTCGAAGCACTGCTCTGCGTGTAATAAATGCGTCTCTAACTTCGACCATCACTGCCGCTGGCTCAACAACTGTGTGGGGAGCAGGAACTACAAGTGAGTTCTTCTTCTACTGTTATAAACACTGTGTGGGGAGCAGGAACTACAAGTGAGTTCTTCTTCTACTGTTATAAACACTGTGTGGGGAGCAGGAACTACAAGTGAGTTCTTCTTCTACTGTTATAAACACTGTGGGGGAGCAGGAACTACAAGTGAGTTCTTCTTCTACTGTTATAAACACTGTGTGGGGAGCAGGAACTACAAGTGAGTTCTTCTTCTTACTGTTATAAACACTGTGTGGGAGCAGGAACTACAAGTGAGTTCTTCCTCTACTGTTATAAACACTGTGGGGAGCAGGAACTACAAGTGAGTTCTTCTTCTACTGTTATAAACACTGTGTGGGGAGCAGGAACTACAAGTGAGTTCTTCTTCTACTGTTATAAACACTGTGTGGGGAGCAGGAACTACAAGTGAGTTCTTCTTCTACTGTTATAACACTGTGTGGGGAGCAGGAACTACAAGTGAGTTCTTCTTCTACTGTTATAAACACTGTGGGGAGCAGGAACTACAAGTGAGTTCTTCTTCTACTGTTATAAACACTGTGGGGGAGCAGGAACTACAAGTGAGTTCTTCTTCTACTGTTATAAACACTGTGGGGAGCAGGAACTACAAGTGAGTTCTTCTTCTACTGTTATAAACACTGTGGGGAGCAGGAACTACAAGTGAGTTCTTCTTCCACTGTTATAAACACTGTGTGGGGAGCAGGAACTACAAGTGAGTTCTTCTTCTACTGTTATAAACACTGTGTGGAGCAGGAACTACAAGTGAGTTCTTCTTCTACTGTTATAAACACTGTGGGGAGCAGGAACTACAAGTGAGTTCTTCTTCTACTGTTATAAACACTGTGTGGGGAGCAGGAACTACAAGTGAGTTCTTCTTCTACTGTTCTAAACACTGTGTGGGGAGCAGGAACTACAAGTGAGTTCTTCTTCTACTGTTATAAACACTGTGGGGAGCAGGAACTACAAGTGAGTTCTTCTTCTACTGTTAGAAACACTGTGTGGGGAGCAGGAACTACAAGTGAGTTCTTCTTCTACTGTTATAAACACTGTGTGGGGAGCAGGAACTACAAGTGAGTTCTTCTTCTACTGTTATAAACACTGTGGGGAGCAGGAACTACAAGTGAGTTCTTCTTCTACTGTTATAAACACTGTGGGGAGCAGGAACTACAAGTGAGTTCTTCTTCTACTGTTATAAACACTGTGTGGGGAGCAGGAACTACAAGTGAGTTCTTCTTCTACTGTTATAAACACTGTGTGGAGCAGGAACGACAAGTGAGTTCTTCTTCTACTGTTATAAACACGGTGGGGGGCAGGAACTACAAGTGAGTTCTTCTTCTACTGTTATAAACACTGTGGGGGAGCAGGAACTACAAGTGAGTTCTTCTTCTACTGTTATAAACACTGTGTGGGGAGCAGGAACTACAAGTGAGTTCTTCTTCTACTGTTATAAACACTGTGTGGGGAGCAGGGAACTACAAGTGAGTTCTTCTTCTACTGTTATAAACACTGTGTGGGGAGCAGGAACTACAAGTGAGTTCTTCTTCTACTGTTATAAACACTGTGTGGGGAGCAGGAACTACAAGTGAGTTCTTCTTCTACTGTTATAAACACTGTGGGGAGCAGGAACTACAAGTGAGTTCTTCTTCTACTGTTATAAACACTGTGGGGGAGCAGGAACTACAAGTGAGTTCTTTTTCTACTGTTATAAACACTGTGTGGGGAGCAGGAACTACAAGTGAGTTCTTCTTCTACTGTTATAAATACTGTGTGGGGAGCAGGAACTACAAGTGAGTTCTTCTTCTACTGTTATAAACACTGTGGGGGAGCAGGAACTACAAGTGAGTTATTCTTATACTGTTATAAACACTGTGTGGAGCAGGAACTACAAGTGAGTTCTTCTTCTACTGTTATAAACACTGTGGGGGAGCAGGAACTACAAGTGAGTTCTTCTTCTACTGTTATATACACTGTGGGGGAGCAGGAACTACAAGTGAGTTCTTTTTCTACTGTTATAAACACTGTGTGGGGAGCAGGAACTACAAGTGAGTTCTTCTTCTACTGTTATAAATACTGTGTGGAGCAGGAACGACAAGTGAGTTCTTCTTCTACTGTTATAAACACTGTGTGGAGCAGGAACTACAAGTGAGTTCTTCTTCTACTGTTATAAACACTGTGTGGGGAGCAGGAACTACAAGTGAGTTCTTCTTCTACTGTTATAAACACTGTGGAGCAGGAACTACAAGTGAGTTCTTCTTCTACTGTTATAAACACTGTGGGGGGCAGGAACTACAAGTGAGTTCTTCTTCTACTGTTATAAACACTGTGTGGGGAGCAGGAACTACAAGTGAGTTCTTCTTCTACTGTTATAAACACTGTGTGGAGCAGGAACTACAAGTGAGTTCTTCTTCTACTGTTATAAACACTGTGTGGGGAGCAGGAACTACAAGTGAGTTATTCTTATACTGTTATAAACACTGTGTGGAGCAGGAACTACAAGTGAGTTCTTCTTCTACTGTTATAAACACTGTGTGGGGAGCAGGAACTACAAGTGAGTTCTTCTTCTACTGTTATAAACACTGTGTGGGGACCAGGAACTACAAGTGAGTTCTTCTTCTACTGTTATAAACACTGTGTGGAGCAGGAACTACAAGTGAGTTCTTCTTCTACTGTTATAAACACTGTGTGGGGAGCAGGAACTACAAGTGAGTTCTTCTTCTACTGTTATAAACACTGTGGGGAGCAGGAACTACAAGTGAGTTATTCTTATACTGTTATAAACACTGTGTGGGGAGCAGGAACTACAAGTGAGTTCTTCTTCTACTGTTATAAACACTGTGGAGCAGGAACTACAAGTGAGTTCTTCTACTGTTATAAACACTGTGGGGGGAGCAGGAACTACAAGTGAGTTCTTCTTCTACTGTTATAAACACTGTGTGGGGAGCAGGAACTACAAGTGAGTTCTTCTTCTACTGTTATAAACACTGTGTGGGGAGCAGGAACTACAAGTGAGTTCTTCTTCTACTGTTATAAACACTGTGTGGAGCAGGAACTACAAGTGAGTTCTTCTTCTACTGTTATAAACACTGTGTGGGGAGCAGGAACTACAAGTGAGTTCTTCTTATACTGTTATAAACACTGTGTGGAGGCAGGACTACAAGTGAGTTCTTCTTCTACTGTATAAACACTGTGTGGGAGCAGGAACTACAAGTGAGTTCCTTCTTTCTACTGTTTATAAAACACTGTGTGGGGACCAGGAACTACAAGTGAGTTCTTCTTCTACTGTTATAAACACTGTGTGGAGCAGGAACTACAAGTGAGTTCTTCTTCTACTGTTATAAACACTGTGGGGAGCAGGAACTACAAGTGAGTTCTTCTTCTACTGTTATAAACACTGTTGTGGGGAGCAGGAAACTACAAGTGAGTTCTTCTTCTACTGTTATAAACACTGTGGGGAGCAGGAACTACAAGTGAGTTATTCTACTGTTATAAACACTGTGGGGAGCAGGAACTGCAAGTGAGTTCTTCTTCTACTGTTATAAACACTGTGGAGCAGGAACTACAAATGAGTTATTCTTCTACTGTTATAAACACTGTGGGGAGCAGGAACTGCAAGTGAGTTCTTCTTCTACTGTTATAAACACTGGAGCAGGAA